TGGTTTGGATTGATCATTTACCTACTGACGAGAAATAGAAGAGGAAATTACCCAGAGTGAAAATCAATTAACACAGTCAAGTAGCAATTATTTTATCTGACATGTACTGTTCATTATATAAAAAACAGTTTATTACAATAATTAATCAATAAAATAAAGAAAAGAAAATTTAATAGAGAATATCGTCTATTGGAATTATTTGATAATAAAGCACTAATACGTTGACGTTGTAAAACATCTGGAATCAAAAAAAGAAAATAATTTATAGAATTCAAAATAAAATAAAACAATCCAACCTTTTTCAACAATTAATTTAGTGGTACGTCGTTGACGTTTGTATACACATGTCCATATACCCGAGTGATATGTTTGAGCATGTTGAATAATTAGAGATGATGTTAAACTATTATTTAGTAATATTTTTCGTGTATGTACATCATTAGGTTTTGTTTTATTATATTGATTTGAAATAAAATGCCAATTAATTGTTGATGAAAATGCTTCATTATTATTATTATTATTATCAATTAATATACTACAGTTTAATTTAACATTTGTTCCTGGTTCGACATAAAGATATGGGGGAAATAAAAACATTGGTATTTGGATATGTAAATATATTGATATACTAACACTTGCTCGTCGATTAGCAATTTTACAAAGATATGTACCTTCATCAGATAAATTTAATTGATAAATTTCTAATGACCAATAAGAATCTCTTGTTGATGTCGAGTAGGATGATATTGAATAACGTTTATCAGTTATAAATAATTCTTTTCCAACTGCTAATGGATGTAATGAAGAAGTCAATGGATCAAATTTAAACCATGTTACATGATGCTCATCTAAATCAAGTACATGACATGTTAAAATAGCTGTTGAAGTTAAATTTGACGTTTGATTATATGTTTTTGTCAAAATTTGTGGAAAATTATTTTCAGTTGTTATAAATTTTATCACTAAAGAAACAAACAATTACAGATATAAAATATTTTCTTAAGTAATAACTTACTGAGAATAAATAAGAATACTTGTTTAAATTGAAACATCATCATCAATTTGACAGTTTTGCATCACTGCATGACATATATACACAAACTTCATATGAGATTTGTTTGCATTCGATTGTGTAACAAAGCAACTACCTTTTCTTCTTATTCTTCGTCTTCTTTTTCTTCGTTTTTTTTTCAACAGAACATATCTGGTACTAGTCAATGAATATAGACATATAAGATGAATAGAAGAACGTGTACAAAAGAAGATGAACGAAGATTATGCTTATTCTCTTGTATGATGATGATTGAAGAGACGATGAGGAAAGAGAAGAAGAAAAGAAAGAAGGAGAGAGAGAGCGAGAGAAAGAAAAGAAAAATAAACTTAGACTAATGGAATTAGGAATAGGAAGAGAAGAGATATCTGAGTTGAGAATGTGGTGGATTAAAGCTGACTAGAAAGAGCGACATACACAAAAACAATAAATAGAATATTTATTGCCTTTTGTTCAAAAGGGATTTTCAAATAAGAGAAAAAGATCAAACGTCGTGCATACAAATTGAATAATGACGCATCTCATTTATTTTTTCAACTTTTGATAAATTTGATGTGTATGTATAGGTGTGATTCGATCATTGAATGGATCACACTTTACATACTTCATTTTTTTTTCTTCTAGTACAATTAATTTTTTTCTACTGTGCATGATTGAAGTGACAAATATACTTATTGTCTTTCAGTCTACTCCTACTATATAAAATGAGGAAAAGATGAAGACGCGCACGCGTGCCTTCCGAGTCAATTCGATTTTGACGTTCTTGCATAGATGTATGTATGTATATATATACATTATATATATATATATATATATAAGCACTCATTCGTTTACTCTATAACACATACAAGTAGTCATGCCTGTCACTGTTCTAGTCAGACTCGACATGACAATATTAAATTGCTTTCTTATGTGAAGTTATTATTATTATTATTTTCTTTTTGTTCTTGTCTTTCAGTTCGATATTAATAAATATAAGTACTCTACACCTCGCATAACTAACTATTTTTACTCATAGAAATATTGAATGATGAATGGCAAATCAAGGTTTTTTCTTTCTTTTTATTCTTCTTGCTAGTCAACATTAATAATGTATCAATTATTGAAAAAAAACTCTTGTTATGAAGCTGTCAAATAAAAGATTATTATTTAGTCAATATTTTTTTCAATCTCGTTATTGAACACAATTGATTTAATAACAAAAACAAAAGAAAATAATTCTACATATGGAAGACATTTGTAATGGTGCTCAAGCGTTAGAAAAAATTCATAGAAACAAACATACAATATTTATGTCTAATCTGATAAGCGATATGACATACTGTGTAAATGAATACAGTCTCATGAGAAGTTGCATTGTTTTGTTTTTATTAGAATGATATAGACAACAAGTTGAACTTAATTAGACTGATGATTGTTTTTATTGTATATAAATGTCGGATAAGGATATACAGATTGTTCTCGAGTTCAAAACGGCATGTTTTATTAATAGAACATTTCATTCTTCTTATGATTATACATTATATTTGTGTAACTCATCCATCTAATTATTAATTTAATTATAGAGTAACATTATTTCATTCAATCTGCATAGTATATTGTGATTATAAATCATTCTTTGAACACACGGAATGTAGTTTTTTTATAATCAAATATACTAGATTTATTATTTTCATCAAGAAATTAATTGGGTATATTTACAATAGATTTCATTTTTGTAGTAAAATTTCATAAACTCTTAAATAATTTTGTAGAATTTAAATTAATTCCCTTTTCTGAAAGAAAGGGTTTTATCACGTTTAAATCATGGGCCTAAAATTGCTTAAAGTTTGTCTGTCTGTCTGTCATTCCGTCATTCCGTCCAAACCAATCAGATTGCAGCAAAGTTTTCGAAGCCCATTTTTTTAGAGGTATTTTGATGCAGGGATTTCGAATCCGAGGTCTGTTG